GGAAACACAGGCGGGGGGGTGAGGGACATCCGGCCGACACTGACACTGCACAGAGATCGGGGAGGAGCACATGTAAGGCAGAAGGGACAGCACATGCAAAGGCCCTGGGGCGGCAGAGGAAGTGACAAGAGTGGTAACCCAGGACCCACGAGGGGGGCTGGAGCAGTTGCCTGGGGTCACAGGCAGTCTCGAAGCCATGGTGAGGAGAGGACACTCAACCCTCCACGGCTGGGCTTTCCACACTGGATCTGAGGGCTCAAGCAGTCCATGATCAAAAAACAGAAAAACAACCGCATCTGTACTGAACGGACAGCACCTCCTCCTCTTCACCACACCATAAACAGCACAGTATTATGGCTGTGCACACAGCACTCAGTACCCTGAGTAACCACAGCAGGATGTACCTAGGTTATAAGCAAATTCCTCGCCTGAGCACCTGCAGTTGTCAGATCCCAAGGGATGACTTTAGAGACATCCGTCCTTGGTGCCATGGGCCTCCTGGGTGAGCTCAGAGCAGGGGCCTGGCGTTGCCTAACTCACACTGAAGTAACCCCGGGGAGGAGCCTCCGGGGTCAGGCCAGGAGATCGGAGCCGGGGTGAGGCTGCAGAAGCAGCACAGGAGAAGCTGTACAAAGGGACCACTGAGGTAGGGCTCACGGTGTGAGCACACTGCCTCCTCCTGGTAAGCCAGGGCCCAGAAAGTCCCCACAGCCAGTTGGCAGGAGCCAAGGATATGAGTCCCTCTCCTGGGGCATGCACGGCGAGTACCCGGCGCTGCTCAGCCCCCGCGGTCCACGTGTCTCTGCACGGATGCCACTCAGCCAGGATTCTATTTGGAGACACCGGGTGCAGCCCAGGCACGTAGGCACCGCCTCGCAGATTAACACCCCAGAACGGAGCTGCACTTGTACCTACATCTGCAAGGTCTGGTGGGGTCTCACCAATGGAAAACCAGGACAGGGACAACAGATCCCCCCCAGCACACTGGGCTCCAAGACCCCGTGACGCCCAGATTCCACTGCGGCAGGCTGGCTGTTACCTGCAGAGGGTATGGAGCTGGCACAGCCCCCTCCTGCCAGCCACAGTGCAGTCCCAACAGCCAAGCAGGAAATGATCCAAACGCAGGCAGGGCACAAGCACGGAAAGAAAACTTTGGAGGTGATGGACACGTTTAAAGCATAGACGGGGCGACAGTTTCACAGATGTGCACCTGTCTACACTCACCAAGCTGCACAGTGAATACACAGTGACGCAGACAGAGGAAGGGGCGCCACCAGTGCCGGGGCAGGGGCCCAGTTCCTAACTCCTACACCTGGGCCTCTCCCCGCAAGGTGACCACGCAGGCTCAGCGGTTCTCGTGCTGACGTGGGGCCACGTGGAACAAAGGCAGGTGCGTGCACTGTGTAGGCATACCCCTTAGGTCAAACAGGCGGGGAAAGAAGGAACACCCACACACCAAGGACACCCCGGATGCGGAGGAGAAGAGAAGCCCTAGAAAGAGGTCACAATGGTGACTTCTGGGAAAAGGGCCCCAAGGGCAGGACGGCTCCTGGCGGACATTGTGTCTCTTTACACAGGCCAGGAAGAAGGTGGGAGGGTGGGAGGGAGGGAGGGGAGGGGAGGGGAGGGGAGGGGAGAAAGAGACCCAAGGAATGAAAGGACAGGAACATCGGTCAGAGCAGAGTAGGGGCCCAGGCCAGGCGGGCCACCTCAGCAGCCTGTCATCGGCCATACGGGACCACACCCAGGACTGACAGGAGTCCAAGCCGGGGAATCTAACTCAACCAGGAAGAGTCACACCGTGGCACAGGCTGGGCATCCTGACCCCAAACCAGCAGGACACCCCACAAGCTGCAGATTTTGGAGTGTCTCAGGTTTCAGACGCTCAACCAAGAGTGTGTATGCAGAAGCGCCAAAAACCAGAAACTTCCCCAATCAGAAGCATTTCTGGTCCCAAGGACTTCCGTAGGGGACACTCGGCCTGTCACACGATGGCGGCTCTTTCCAAGCCAGGTACCGGTCTCGGGTGCACGTTTCTGTTTCACTCCTGCAGCGCACAACGAAGGAAGGGACCCGCCGTGGAGCAGAGCAACAGGTGGTTGGCGAGGGGCAGCCAGAAGGCGGGAGAGCTAAGCAAAGGAACAGCGGGGGCCGCCGGGTCAGGGACCCCAACCCTGCTTGCAGCATGGGGCTGACATTTTCCACCGCAGTCCTGAAAAACGCGAGATGAAGATTCAAAGGTCCCTGCCAGGACCCGGTGAGAGGCGCCCGCAAAGGCAGCCGATGCCAGCATTGCGTTGGTGACGGGATATGGCCGAAGGTGCTCCTGGCCCTGCCCAGGCGAGAGTCCCACCCAAATCCTCACACCCAAGACCCACAACAGAGCACCCTGGTGAGACAGGGAGAGGACACTGAGGCCCCCCTCCTAACAGGGCTCCGGCCACTGAAGTGACCTCAGAGGCCTGGCCGCCCACTGGCGGTGCCCAGATGTCACAGCAGCTGGCTTGCCCTGCCCCGCCCCTCAAGGACCACGGCCGTTCTGGACTGGGGGTCCCCTCCAGCCACGTCTTGCTTCTTGTCACGTTCTTGAGCTACCTCAACTCCTCCTGCCCCATCCCAGGGACTTGTGGGGGCACCAGGCACATGCCTGGCCCAGCAGAAACAGGACAGACAGCACCCATCCACCCACAGGGCTGCGGCCTCGGCAGTGAACGGGGACAGAGGCTGTGCCCTCTGACCCCCTAGGGAGAGGAGACAGATGGTAAAAACAGATATGGAGGCACAGAAATAGGTTGGGATGCAGACAGTGCCAGTGTGTGCTAACAGCAGGTACACAGAGCAGGGGATTTGCATAAAGGATGGAAGGAGGCAGCGGCGTGAGGCAAACGGAGACAACAGTGGGTGCGGAGGTCCCAGGGCAGGACCGCACTCGGCACTTCTGACCACTAACAGAGAGGCCAGCATGCCCAGGAGCCACAGGGAAGGGGCGGCCGTGTGGGACCCCCGGGCCATTGCAGGAGATTTCGCTTCTGCACCGAGTGACACAGAGACCATGGAGTTGATGGGCCCAGACGGGACTCGGGCTTCAGGTCAGTTCTGGGGACATCTGACAACGGTTGGAAATGTTTTCAAGTTCCCACGACAGGTGGGCAGAGGGCTGTGCTACTGGTCCTTTGCGGACACAGAGGCCAGGGAGACGGCTAAGCAACCACGGATGTATGGGATAGTCTCTCCCCAGCCCCCCAAACGGCTACTGGGTGGAGAGACCCTATAAGCACAGAGCCCCGCCCTGCCAAGTGTGCGGTCCACACTCCCCAAACACACTCCTTTTCAGGCACTGAGCTTTCAGTTCCTCATTATGGGATGCTGGGTGAGCAACGCAACCTCAGTTTCCACCTCTGTAAAGTGGGAATACTCAAGACTATGCAAATAGGTGTTTCATGAGGCCCGGACCAAAGCGCACCTTAGGGACTCAGTAAACAGCACTGCTCTTCACCCCAAGCTCTGTCCCTCCCACAGCCTCCAGCCTCAGAAGTGACCCCTTCTTCCACTCAGTGAAGGTGGGCCGAGTCCCTCCTGCGTGCCCTGGACCAGGCTGGCAGGCAAGCAGCCCCACAGCCCCAGTCCCCAGCAGCAGGCTGTGGGACTGTCCAGGGCAGGGGGATCTGCACCTGGACATTAAGGTGGCACTAAGGGTCTTGGGATGGGGACACAGGCTGGGATGAGCTACAAGTGTCCCGTGGACTCTCCAGGGTATCACCTGGGGAAAGATAAAGACAGGCAGGTCGGAGAGCCAGGGGGGGCTCAAGAAACAGCGCAGCTGGGCTAGCAAGACAATGGCTCTGCCCCAAGAAATTCCGGAAGGACACCAGCCCAGCATTCTGGACTTCTGGCTTCCAGGTCCAGAAGAGAACATACGTGTGCTGGCCAAAGCCACTACGCTCTGTGTTTGCTATGGCAGCCACAGAAACGGATGTGGCAGGCACTAGAAACAGCCGACGGGGAAGCAAGGCTGGCTTCCGGTACTCACACCTGTTCACGCCCCTGCAGCCCTGCCCAGGCCGAGTCCCAGCCTCAAGGTCAGTCTGCATCTGACAAGACCCCTCTGTGAGCCCTAGGCTCTGCGCTCCATGGACACTCCTGATTTTTCTGCTGATTTGATGAAAGGCACAGAGACAGAAATCGCTCACCTGCTGGTCCACCTCTCCAAATGCCTGCCACAGCCAGCACTGAGCCAGGCCAAAGCCAGGAGCCTGGAATTCAATGTGGATCTTCTTTTTTTTTTTTTTTTTAAAGGGGGGGGTAGAAATATTGCTTTATTGGAAAAAACTACTGTCATGTTTTTTTTTTTAAAAAAAAAGTCCCAATGAGCATTCAAAAAGAAAGCACATACACTTTCCACAGGAATAAGGACAAAGAAAATGGGGTGATGACTGCCCCAAATGGTGTTTCCTAAGAGAAAAACACTAACATTCAGCCTTTCTTCTTCTGAGGCACGGTAAGTGGGCTACACACATCATAAATAAGATTCCACACATCATAAATAAGATTCGCTTACTTTATAAGGAGAAGAACTGAGATCTCCTTTTTGATGCATATTAAATACATGTATAAAATCATGGCCGGCGCCGCGGCTCACTAGGCTAATCCTCCGCCTAGCGGCGCCGGCACACCGGGTTCTAGTCCCGGTCGGGGCGCCGGATTCTGTCCCGGTTGCCCCTCTTCCAGGCCAGCCCTCTGCTGTGGCCAGGGAGTGCAGTGGAGGATGGCCCAGGTGCTTGGGCCCTGCACCCCATGGGAGACCAGGAAAAGCACCTGACTCCTGGCTCCTGCCATCGGATCAGCGCGGTGCGCCGGCCGCAGCGCGCCGGCCGCGGCGGCCATTGGAGGGTGAACCAACGGCAAAGGAAGACCTTTCTCTCTGTCTCTCTCTCTCACTGTCCACTCTGCCTGTCAAAAAATAAAAATAAAAAATAAAAAAAAATAAAAAAAAAAAATAAATAAATACATGTATAAAATCCACTCTCTGATCAAGATGAGAAAAAAAATCAGTCTTCAATTTTTCAATTCTCATGCAATGAAATCCAAAGGTCTGTTGAATCCACCTCTTCGGTTCATATACTGCCGGTACTTCCTCTTCTGAGACACATTTATGGCATAAGCATTTACAGAACCATCTACCTTCTTCCCTTTGGTGGAGTCAAAGGACGCAAACCCCATTAACTTCATCATTTCTATTTCTTCCTCTGTTTTGCCTTCCAAGTCCTCCTCAGCGTTCTGACGTTCGTTGCTCTTTGCTTCTGTTGTTTCCTTCTTTTCCTCATCTCTTCTTTCTTTGAGCCGAGACGGGGAAGGAGAGGTGGATCTATGTCGTCTTGGAAATCTGGAGTGTCTTCTGTGCGGGAATTGGGAGCAGCTCCTTCTCCGGTCTCTATCCCGTGACCGGGACCTTGCCCGGCGCTGGTGTTCTCTCTCGCAGGATGTGGACCGGGACCGCCTACGTTCCCTCCGCGGGGAGCGGCTGCGGCTGCGGCTGCCACCCACTGGGAGTCCCACTCCTCCTCACACCGCCCCGGAAACAGCTGTGCAACAACTTCCAATGTGGGTCTTCTAAGTGGGCGGCAGGAACTCGTGCACTTGAGCCGTCACCGGCTGCTTCCCAGGCTGTGCCTCAGTAGGAGGCAGGACTCAGAAGCGGAGCAGTCAGCGCTGGAAGCAGGCCCTCCGAGATGGGTGTGCAGGTCCCAAGCAGGGTCCTGACCACTGCACCAGACGCCCCGGGCACTCCCAGCCCTTTCTGAAACACCGTCCACATCCGACGGGGGGCTGCCCCGCAGATGCTGCCCGAAGAGGGGAGCCACGGACAACGGAAATAGGAATTCACTCGAATTACAAAATGTGTGTGTGGGTGTATGCGTGTGTATGCATGGGTGCCGTCTATACGTGTGTATGCATGTGTATGCATGTATATGTGTATACATATGTACCTTCTATGTGTGCATGCGTGGATGCCTTCTGTGTGTGGGTGTGTATGTACAGGTGAATCACTCTGCCTCCCTCTCCTTCCCCACACACAGCCCATTTCTGAATTTCTTATGGATCCTTCTCAAAGTCTTTGTGCCAATCCCAAAACATTTTCACCAGTCTCCTTCTTCACACAAGCGGTATCACGCCAAACAAGCCAGCCGACTGTATCTAGATGTTGTCACTGCAAATTTGGAGCGTGGGGACAGGCGTTAGGCACGGCAGTCCCTCTTGGGACACCCATATTCCCTACCAAGGTGCCTCGTGCGAATTCCGGCTGCATTTCCGATCAAGGTTCCTGCCTCCCAGGCGGGAGATCCAGACTGAGTTCTGGGCTCTTGGCTTTGGCCCGGCCCAGCCCCGGCTGTCGTGGGCATTTGAGGAGCGAACCAACAGTTAGGAGCTCACATGTGCGCTCATTCGTTTCTGTTTCTCAAATAAGAATTTTTTAACACTTGGACCTCAGAGGCTGTTCCACATCAGTACACAAAGCACAGCCTCTCTCCCCACTCCCTTGGTGCAAGCAGGAAGGTCCTGCACTCACCCAGCCCCTGGGGACCGGCCGCCACCTGGGCAGCTGCCAGGATTCTGCTATTCCAAACAATGACACAATGAATTCCCTTAGAAACTGCTTCTTAAGCTAAAGGAAACACAGTCAGAGCCTGACTCACACACGCTAATCTAATCTCTAATCGGGGGCTTGGCTTAAAGACTGCTAAGCTGGAGGGGGCAGGAAACAAGGACACAGGCCCTGGTTCAGTCTGATCACCTGCAGAGCCTTAAAAAGAAGGCTCAGTGCCCACCCAGGAAATCCTACGGGAATTTAGTCTCTCACGTGTCACAAAAGGAAGGTGGACCCATTTCCAGGGGTTTACAGCTCTATAAACATTACTGTGGGGCCAGCACTGTGGCGTAGCAGATAAAGCCGCTGGCTGTGCCGCTGGCATCCCATATGGGTGTCGGTCCAAGTACCGGCTGCTCCACTTCTGATCCAGCTTTCTGCTGTGGCCTGGGAAAGCAGTAGAGGATGGCCCAAGTCCTTGGGCCCCTGCACCCGTGTGGGAGACCAGGAAGAGGCTCTTGGTTCTGGAAAGGCCCAGCTCCAGCAGTTGAGGCCATCTGGAGAGTGAACCAGCAGATGAAAGACACTAATCTCTGCCTCTCTAATAAATAAATAAATCTTGCGGAAAAAATTACTGTGTAGCTATCATTGCTGTATACTGTTTAAACTTTTTTTTTTTAAGATTTATTTATTTATCTGAAAGTCAGAGTTATACAGAGAGAGGAGAGACATCCGATGGTTCACTGCCCAGATGGCTGCAACGGGTGGAGCTGCACCAATCCGAAGCCAGGAGCCAGGAGCTTCTTCTGGTCTCCCACACGGGTACAGGGGCCCAAGGAGTTGGGCCATCTTCCACTGCTTTCCCAGGCCACAGCAGAGAGCTGGATGGGAAGTGGAGCAGCTGGGACTAGAACCGGCGCCAATATGGGATGCCGGCGCTTCAAGCCAGGGCGCTAACCCACTGTGACACAGCGCCGGCCCCATATACTGTTTAAACTTTGATAAAACAATGGAAAAGTATCTAAACGTGCACCGCCCAAGAAAGTAATCAGCAGTTATTGAATGCTGGCAGTTTCCAATGGCTTGATCTAATTGTTTAATTTCTAAAAAACTTATTCAAGAGATAGAGATGCAGATAGAGAGGGACAGACACACAGAGTGCTCCCATCTGCTGGTCCAGTCCCCAAACGTCCACAAGGGCTAGGGCTGGGGATTCAGCCCAGGTCTCCCGTGAGTGGCAGAGAGACAACTGCCTCCCAGGATCTGGAAGTCAGGAAGCTGGAGTCAGGAGCCACAGCAGGAACTGACGAGGGTAAGTATTTTATACCTTGCACAGCTACTCTGCCCCGACTCTGGCAACCAAGGCTCTCGTCTATCCCACTCCCCTCCCACTGCACAGTACCCAGGGCCAAGTAGACACTCAGCAAAGACCTGCAGAATCGGCTGATGGGCACACAAAGAGCAGACAACATTGTGATCCCCGTGCAGGGCCCGTATTTTGCCCGGGGTTAAGAACATAGAGACGAGCAGGTGGATGAGAACGTGCCAACAGTGACGACAGGGATGCAGGTACAGCTCCAAATGTGCTGCAGGCCTCAGAGCCGTTAGTTTCCTTGGGGACCACGGGGCATGTGAATCACGGCCCAGCAGGGCTCTCAGGAAAAGATGCACACGTGCACTCACACGGCACATGGTACATCACGAACACAGAGGAGCTGGCACTCAGCACTGCAGGTTAAGCCCCTGCTTACAACACTGGCATCCGGACCAGCGCCAATTCCAGTCCTGGCTGCTCTGCCCCTGATCCAGCTCCCGGCTAATGCGGCTGAGAAAGCAGCAGACAATGGTCCAAGTGCCTGGGCCTCTGCCACCCACATGGGAGACCCAGATGGGAGTTCCTGACTCCTGGCTTCAGTCTGGCTCAGCAATGGGTGTTGTAGCCATTTGGGGAGTGAACCAGCAGGTGGAAGATCAGTCGATCAGTATCTGCGTCACTCTTTCAAATAGATCAATCTTTCTAAGACCCAGGGTCATTCTGACAGGAAGCAATTTTCATCTTCGCTGTGAAATACTTCCCCAAACAATCAACAAGCACACAGACAATAGTCCATCACTTCAGTAAGATGAGACATCATCCAGACATGGATTCCTTTGTATTTGTTAAAAATCTGTCAGTGCAGTGCCTTTTCCCATTGCCATGTCGCCCACAACCTGACTACGTATTCCCACAACCCAGGGTTTCTCAGCCCAGCACCCTGACACTTCAGGCCGATCACTCTGTCCTGTGCGCTCACTGTACAAAGCTTAGGGACATCTCTGGCCTCCACTCCAACCCCACCCCATCAGCTGCCACAACAAAAATGACTCCAGACTTTACCAGATGTCCCCTGGGGCGCTCTCCCAGCTGAGAGCCACTGCCTTGACCGCTTCCCCAGGCCCCCCTCCTGCTCCCCAAACTACTGACCCTGAGGTACCTGCTGCTTGTATCTGGACTTCAGCCAGACACCACCCTGAAGGAGTCTGGGGTCCTGAATGCGAGGCAGGACAGGAACCTACACAGCTAACACAGAAGATTTTAAAAGCACAAAAGGTGTGACAGGTTATGTCGCGACCTGAGACACCGGCATCCTGAATTAGAGAGCCCGTCCAAATCCGGGTGGCTCTGCTTCCAATCCCTGCTAATGCACCTGGGAATGTAAGCAAACGACGGGCCCCTTCCACACACGTGGGAGACCCAGATGAAGCTCCGGACTTTGGGCTGGCCCAGCCCCAGCCATTGCAGCCATTTGGGGAGTGAACCAGTGGACACAGGGTCTGTCTCTTCCTCTCCATAACTCTTCCTTTCAAATAATTAATAAATCTTTTTTTTTTTTTTAAAGGCAGGAGATGTCCAGAGAAGAGAAAGGGGTTAATTCACAAAGCAAAGGAGGAAGTGGGGTGGAGACAGGGATGACACCTGCCTTCCAGAGATAAGGCTGAGACGAAATGCACACATCCGATGACCTCAACTGCACCCCAACCCTTCCAGCTGGGGGAGGAAGCTGCTCGGGGGAGTAAAGGGGGCGGGAGATGGCCCCGCCCAGAGGTGTTACAGGCAGCCAGCGGCCGCTCCACCAGCGGAAGCTCTGGTCTTTATTGCCACTTGGCAGGTCAGCACAGGCTTCCTGGAGGACGTCCAACGCGAGGCAAGCTGACGGGTCAGGATGCTAAGACGCGTGGGCGTGGGCGTGGGCGTGGAGAGGAGGGAAGGACAGGAATATGGAGAAGGAAGACAGCGGCCAGCGTGCTCAGGGCGGCAATTACACTCCAAAGTGGAACCGAAGGGCCGGGACGCCCACCGCCCCCCCGAGTACCCGGGTTCCATCCCTGGCTCCGGCTCCTGCCAAGGCACAGCCTGAGACAGCACATGATGGCTCAAGTGGCTGAGTCGCTCCCCTACAGAGGACACCTGGACTGAGTCCCTGGATCCAGACTCCAGCCACTGTGGCCACGTGGGGAGGGAGGGGGTGCACCGGCAAAAGGGAGCTCACTCCCCACTCACTGTCTCTCCCTGTTTCTCTGATCCACAAAGAATGAAAGGAGGCCCAGGTGACAAGTACAGCCCAAGGCCAGGCTGTAAGTGCGGGGACAGAGCTTCCCTCAGGGGTTCCCATCAGGACACTGTTGAGCTCCCCGGAAAATTCTGCACCACCCACATGTTGCAAAAGCTCCTGGGTGTTGTGAAACCCAGGGAGCACATTTCTCTAACTCTCCTTTGAAGACAGCTAAGAACAGGAGACTAGAAAAACCACTGGCATCCTGAAGCACCCCCTTGGGGACGCCCCAGTGCCCCTGTCCCGAGGGGTGGCCTGGCACACACCTCTCCCATCCTGAGGTCTCTTCCAACTGCGGCCCTCCAGACACGGGCAGGGAGCGAGGCGGTGCTGGGAGGAGGGGCACTCCCACTTCCTGGCTGTGTGGCCTTGGCAGAGT